CCCCCCAAAGGCACTTGGAGACCATTGCGCCCCTAACAACACCCACATTTTGCTCCAGTAGACGGAATCAACAGTCTACAAAATTGACAGGGACCAGCTGATGTTGGCGCAGCTTCCATCAGAGCCTTCTCACACAGGTGGGTCGGGTTATGCTTTGGCAGGGAAGAGGTTACAGCTGACGCTTTGTTCTCTCCTGCCCTCAGGCCATACTGGGAAGACTGGAGGAGAAGCTGGAGGAACTGGAGGGAAGTCCTGACGTTATGGAGGACGGAGCCAGGCGACCGAACGACAGCGGAGCCCCACCGCGGGAATCCGGAGTCACCGACGGCAACCCCTTCGCCCTCAGCAACGCGATCCTCAAAGGGCTGCGGTCGCTGCAGAGCAGGAAAATGATGAGAGGCTCCAACTGCTTCGGGAGACGGATTGACAGAATCGACTCCGTGAGCGGGATGGGCTGCAATGGTAAGAAAGCAGATTGGACTGGGTGTGGGGGGAGGGGATCATATGGGGGCTAATTTCCCTGAACTTCAGCCGGGATTCCTAACCTAACCCCTAATCTTCACCGCAAACTTACATTCAGCTCCTTAACAGTAACCTAACCCCCAAATTTATTCTGTAATCTCAACTCAGCTCCTTGACTTTAACCTAACCCCCTAAATGTAACCCATAACCTCAGCTGAGTTCCCTACCTTTAACCTGACCCGCAAACCTAAATTCAGATTCATAACATTACCCTAGCCCCTAAATGTAACCCATAATCTCACTTTAGCTCCTTAGCTTTAACCTAACCCCCTAATCTTAACCTGAAACTTAAATTCAGGTCCTTAACATCAACCTAACCTCCCAATTTAACTTGTAGTCTCAGCTCAGCTCCTTAACTTTAACTTTACCCTACCCTGGAACCTAAATGCAGCTTCTTAACATCGACCGAACCCTAAATTTAGCCTGTAATCTCAGATCAGCACCTTAGCATTAACCTAACCCCCTAATCTTCACCTGGAACCTAAATTCAGCTCCTGAACAGTAACCTAACCCCCAAATGTAACCCATAATCTCAGCTCGGCTGCTTAATTTTAACCTAACTCCTAAATGTAACTCATAGTCTCAGCTCAGCTCTCTACCTTTAACCCTAACCCTACCCTGAAACCTAAATTCAGATTCGTAACATGAACCTAACCCCTAAATTTAGCCTGTAATCTCAGCTTGGTTTCTTAAATGTAACCTAACCCCCTAATCTTCAAATTAAACTTAAATTCAACTTAACATGAACCTAACCCCTAAATTTCACCTGCAATTTCAGCTCAGCTCTCTACCATTAACCTAACCCCCTAATCCCCTAATCTTCACCTGAAACCTAAATTAAGCGCCTTAACATTACCCTAAATGTAGCATGTCATGTCAGCTGCTTACCATTAACCTAACCCCCTAATCTTCACCTGTTATCTACACTCAGCTCCTTAACCTAACTTCTAATCTTCACCCTAATCTCCCCAAAATGATCCCTTCACCTCTGCCCGGATCATGAACATCTTGGTTTAGAGATTTCCTGTGGCCCCCCCCCCGGGGTCATTTCACCTCACTTCCTGTCTTGGAGACACAACAGAAAGTGAGGGAAACGTGAGGAACAAATTCCTTCTTAGACGATTGTCCCCCATTGGAAGATTTCCTCTCACCTTCTGTTGGTGCCAATGGTCACCAGGACACATAGACGCTCCGGTGATGGCTGCATACCATTTCTCAGGGCGGGTTTCCCGATGGTGACAACAGTGGACCGTGTCTGCTGTATGTGTGCTGGAACAGTCACTTGTAGTCACCAGCAAAAGCCGGTGTGACAGGGTGACAATGCAGGAGAGCAATTGTGAGACAGAGAAAGAGTGCATTGTCACCCTATAACAGGAAGTGCCTAAACAAGGACCCTTATGGCAGGATCACCGGGGATCTTGACCTGACATGCATGGGATCTAGTTATAAATAATTTGCAGAATCAAAATGTCATCTTGTAATACCACATTATGGCCACTAGATGACAGTAAGTAGCATAGGAAATGAAAGCTGATCTCCTGCGCTCCTCAGCTCCATCTAGCGGCCATAATGTGGTAATACAAGATGACATTTTGATTCTGCAAATTATTTATAACTAGACCCCATGTGTGTCAGGTCGTGATCCCCGGTGATCCTGCCGTGAAGGATAACATTGGAAATACATTTGATTTATAAAGAGCGTTCACGTTGTGCATCCATTCACACAGAGTAAACACAAGCAGAGATTCACAGGGCCAACGGCTCTGTGAATGGTTCGTGAATAGACCCCGTGGTGTCACCAATACTGGAAGTGAGGTGGATGTCCCCAGCAATAACAGTTTGAGGGGTGTTTGACATTCCCCCGCTCCATCCAAACCCGAGAAATAGTTCTGTTCTAACACACAATTCTGCAGCTCGGGATCCGATCCGTCTAAAATGTTCCTCTTTTTCTCTCCTCTGCGCAGGATCCCGAAGAGTGATCAGGACCATGGCATGACCCCATTTCAGGAGGACTCCACCCCCCCCCTTCCCCCGCCGCCAGCATTGCTTTGTACTATTTATGACGAATCGGATCATATTTATTTATTTATTTATACATATTTATTTGATGTTTTATAAAAGACACTTCATGGTTCATATTAAAAGTATATTGTACACTTTCCGGTGGCGCCATGTGATCATTGCGGGTGGGTTCGGCCTTTGCGGGTTTGCCGAGGGGCCGCCGGCCGCTCTTCTATGTTATCAGTCATGTTAGGCTGCGGCAGGCTCAGCAGACACGTGCTTCAGGACCTTCAAGATTGATACATGTGTAAATGTTACAGCAAGGGGTCCAGCTGCGGTGGAACTACAAGTCCCATGAGGCATTGCAAGACTCTGACAGGCACAGGCGTGACTCCCAGAGTCTAGAGCATGATGGGATTTGTTGTTTCACCGCAGCCGGAGTGCCCGAGGTTACATATCAGTCACATTAAACCATTTTTGCTCTCATCTATATTCGGAGTAGACATGTGCGATTGGTTTCGTTACGAATCGAAATTCGTACGAATTTTCCTGAAATTCCGAATTTCGGAGCATCCGAAATCCGAATGGCAGTTTCCGAATTATATCCGAAATACGAAATTCCGTTAACGAATTTCGGATCCGAATTTCTTTGAAACAGGAACTAATATTACCCCTGTAAATGAGGTTGAACAGCATGACAAGATTTTTTTTTAATCCGAGATACGGATGCGCTGCTGCTGAGAGTTGCAGTACAATACACAGGCAGGAAATACAAAATTCCGTTGACGTATTTTCGTTCCGTTACGAACATTCGTTATAATAAAGTTAAAAAGCAAAGTACATTTATATTGGAGTGGATGGTAGTTTTTTTTAAAGTCCGAAATACGGAATTCGGAATCCGTTAACGGAATTCGTATTTCGGATAAAAAAACAACTACCACTCCAATATTAACAAAGGTATTTTGCTTTTTAACTTCATCATAACGAATGTTCGTAAAGTTACGAAAATATAACCGCCACTAACGAAAATTCGTATTTCGTACGAATCCGAATTGAGTTCAGTTACGAATTACGAAATACGAAATAACGGATATTCCGAAACGAAACAGAACGAATTTTTTGACGGCGCACAAGTCTAATTCGGAGTAAAATTAAAAGGTTACACATTGCATAAAATGTGTCCAGGAAATTGATCTCCAGAAAGACATATTTATGGAGCGCTGGGGCTTCAAAAAATGATTCCTGCCACCAAGCGAAGGGAAAAGTTTCATAACGGGGGCTCGTATACGACACGACTTCCCCCCGACGGATACTGGGAAGTGACAGGAAACATGGAACTGAGCCGATATCAAAAGGTGAATGTCTTTGATTGTTCAGAATTTGATGACAGAAAGTGGTCAACGTGTTTCAGGGGCCAAAACTGCTTCATCGGGGTTTAAATAATGACATGAGGGCTTGGAATGGACGCAAAGGACACAGGAACCAAACAGACATAGACGTGTGCAGCCTATTGCATTAGGGTGTACACACACACATATATATATATATAAATTCCCATCTCTTCAACTGTCCCTTCCCTCTTCCAGCAGGGGTGCAGTAATGAAGCATGGAGCCTAGCAGGTGGTCATGTGACCACACACCTGGCTTCCTGATTAGAAGGGAAGCCACAGCCATGCTACCTCGCAGCTTCCCAGGCACCGAGGACTGTGGTTATTAATTATGTGAGGAATATAAGCTGCTGCGCTCACTGAGCCGTTCACAGAGAAATCTTTGTGATCTCTCCTCCAGCTCAGTGACTAAAAACATGGCGCCTGCAGTTGTGGTTTTGGTGTTGCGCCCCGGGAGATAGGGTGTGCCCATCCACACCTGGCACACCCTGTGCGCACGCCCAGGCAAACAGTGTCATAAATCTGATTCAAACTCTATTTATGGATTGTAACAATGCCGTCAGCCATGACTGCAACCGTTACATTGTATAAGGAGAGTTTAAATCAGATTTGTTACAATTTGGTTCCTGTTTCTTTCGAGTCCATTCCAAGCCCTCATTTCATTATTCGAGTCCTGATGAAGGAATGTTATAATATAATATAAAGGTAGAGAGGGATATGAGTAGCTGCCATTACTGGTGTGCAGATCCGGGAACTTCAGCACTAAAGACTCTGAGAAATAAAAGGGAAGGTGGTGTAACTGTTCACCTGCACCTGTATCAATGCAACATCACAGCCAATCTATCACAGGATAAAGTAAGTTCTTGAGGGCACATCAAGTAGAAGTGCCACTCACAACATGACAACATCACAACTTCAACATGAGAACATCACAACTTCAACATGACAACTTCCCAAGTGTTATATATTGGGTGAAGGAATTTAAATGCAAGTGCCCCACTCCATCTGGAGAGGTGGAGTCTGACCTAGAGAGGTGGAGTCTGAACCTGAGGGGTGGTGTCTGATCCAGAGGGGCGGTGTCTGATCCAGAGGGGTGGTGTCTGATCCAGAGGGGCAGTGTCTGATCCAGAAGGGTGGTATCTGATCCGGAGGGGTGGTATCTGATCCAGAGGGGCAGTGTCTGATCCAGAAGGGTGGTAACTGATCCGGAGGGGTGGTGTCTGATCCAGAAGGGTGGTATCTGATCCGGAGGGTCGGTGTCTGATCCAGAGGGGCAGTGTCTGATCCAGAAGGGTGGTATCAAATCCGGAGGGGTGGTGTCTGTTCAGAACAAAGGCTGTAAATGGCAGTGATCGTTATAAAGTTCAAAATTTTTATTGGAAGTTCAAGCAGAAAATAATATGATAGAATAAGGATGAGGGCAGTGTTCTGTAGTCGCGCTCTAGGGTGACAATGCTGTTTCTAAATAAATACAGTATGGTGAGTAGCATTGTCACCCTAAGACAGGAAGTGTATTACCGGCAGGGTCACCAGGTAAAAATAAAGGGGGGAAAAAAAAGGAAAAAAACATTTCCTGTAAAAGGAAATCTAATGCGGCCGCCACATCACAGAGAGGTAAGCTGCGATATCTTACATTTATCTTCTTGGGTTTGGATACACTATCTTCTCTTGCTGTAAAGATCCTCGTCCTAAATTCATGGAAAAGCCCATTTCCCACACCCCGCTGATGCCCCCTTCTGTTCTGTAGGATCTCTGAGATAAAAAAAATCAGTTCATTATCATTCATTCTTTGACATTTAAGTGACGAGAAGCATGGAGACGGCTTCCCCGCTAATTGGGAAGCCGGGTGGCGAGTCCTTACAAACCGCCTGGCTTCCTTAATGGGACTTCCGGTATCGGTATTCGGTATCGGCGAGAACCGGAAAAAAATATTGATACTCGTACTCAATACTGAAAAACTGGTATCCGTGCATCCCTATTAACAAGTATCCCAAAATCCATCTCCAGTTCCACTTCTGTTACACCAAACTGTGTTTTATTTAATCTATGGGGGGGGGGGGTTAAAGTATTCCCCGGGCACGATGCATAACCTTACATGTAAAAAAAAAAAGCTGTTACATTTAATTTGCCGTTAAAGAGGACCTGAACTGTGGAAGCTTGTCCCACATAAGACAAGATGAGGTCAAAGGATTCATCACCGCTATTGCCTGTCGGCCCCCAGCAGCTAAATGTTCCTCCATCACTGACTTACCATTCCTTGCTCTGCACTGTGACTCTGCATGGAGGTGGCCACCATGGTAGGGAAGCAGGGTTTGGCTTCCTCGCATCAGATCTGCCCCCCTTAACGACTGGTGACTAATTATTAGACATGTGCCATTCGTTTCGTTCCCATTGAAAATTTGGACACATTTTTCAAAATCCGGATATTCGGACACATCCGAATTTCCCAATCCCAATGCATCCGAATGTGTACGAATCCGAATTTCAGTTTCCAAATTTCGGATCCCGTCCGAATTCCGTTCAAAAAAGGAACTAAATCGAACATGTGACTTTTCTGGCCAATCAGATGTGTTTTTCAATGCCTCCGAATGGATGTGAATACGAATTTTCGTTAGGGCAACTTGGGAGCCATATACAGTCTATACATATAATCCTAAAGCCGAGGCTCCCAGACCCCAATGGCATTCTGGAGCTCCCGAATAAAATTAGGAAGTTCAGATCCTGAATGCCATTTGGGTCTAGGAGCCTCGGCTTTAGTATTAATACATGTAGATGGTTTTCTGTGGTATCTGCAACAAATATTCATAAACTCATTCGAAACTAATGGAAATTCGGATTGGTGGTGCATGTTACAGGTACCTCTGTCTGGGGTTGTGCCCAACTCACTGATGTCACTGGTTGCCAGGAGCTGGGGGGACGCCAGCCAGAGAGTCCCACTCCGCTCTGGGCAATCAGTGATGTCAGTGAGCTTGGCGGGACTCTGTCACAGGTTGCTACCCTGGGATGCTCTGGCTGGAAAGGGGGCAGTGGGCACACCTGCTGCCCCCCACGTGATCCAATGAGATGCTGTCTGAAGCAACTGCCTCAGGCTGCCTTATTAGAGGGATGGCTCTGGGAGGTCAAGAAGTAACCAGAGAGGGGGAGAAAGCACAGATCTATGGAATGGATGAAGCCAAAGCAGGGGGATCCTTGCACTGCAGGTCCTCAGGTACAGCTTCCCTTCCAGCAATGAGAACAGTGAGCAACACAGCAGTGACATCACCGAATCTCACTCCAAACCTATGATACAGGTAGTCAGAGATAGCAGAGCCTTAGATGATCTCACATTGGAGATATACAGCTATGCGGTTCAAGGCACATGGGTGCCTAGGCACAGGAAGGTCACTGCTTTTCTTCAGGAGACAAAGGGTGGATGTTTTTTATGGTACTGCTTAGAAACAATTAACATATCTAGATGTTCCTTATAATTCCTGATTATTATATCAAATCTTCACATTTTGGGTCAAGAACCCTATAACTGTCCGGATTGCCATATCTTAGTCCTCCTGATGATTTTTATTATTTCTACATAATTTGTATCATCATCGAAATGGAAATATCTATTTCCTCCCCCAGAGATCATCAATGAATAGAAGGAAAAGGAGTGGATGTCACATTGTTTTCCCCTCTGCCCAGGTTGTTCTTCAATTGTCCTATGATGATGGGTTGAGGGTATATTCAGCCATGTTGTGATAATGGCGCGGAGCACATGACACACCGATGTCCCACAGGAAAAATAGTTCAGATAGTTTCCCCATAGTGCGGTCACATGCACGGCTGTGTCACATGGGCATTACGGGATGGCGAAAAGGTTGAATTGTCTCCTATTTTCCATGAGCCACCCAGAAACTATTCAGGTACTCGGAGAGGTGAGACAGGAGAGACCCCGAATGTGAGAAAAGCTCTTCACTCCGGAATGCCAATCCGCAAGTAGCGGGTCAGTCCGGTCAAGTGGGCCAGTAGCTTCCTGGGCAGGTTGTGGTGCAATAGCCGGGCTGGGATAACTTTAAAAGGGAATCTTCTGTTGGCCTGCAAACAGCTTCTTTATCTTTTCGGAAGTGCTGGAATGCAGATGAGTTCATGCTTGGGACAGGCTTGTGTCAGGGTGGCACCTATATAAAAGCAGAGGTAGCTGTAGGCAGCAGATAAAACAAAGGACAGCAAGCCAACTCATAGGAGAAGGATTCGGGTGCAAGAAACTAAAAGGACACAGCCACCGAGGGCAATGGGGACTTCATTCGTTGGGTACTTTACGTTTGTCCTGCTTCTCCTAGCATTGACCAAAGTACGAGGAGGTCCGGCCTTCAACACCCCCCTGTCTTCAGACTTGTCCGATTTAAAGGTGAGAAAGAATGGTGGCTGCAGCAAAAGCCTGGTGGATGAATAGGTGGCAACTGTCCCCGGGTCCAGGAGATGAAGGGTCCATTGCCACCTTTCCCAATGGTAACTGGCTGGGTTGTCATGATACAGAAAAAGAAGCTTTTCTGTCCTTGGGTCCCTCTTCCCGACTTTTGTGTGCTCTTGAAGCCCTTGTTAGACTTATTAGGTTTATTGTAAATAAACTAATCCATAGCAGCCAATTAGTTTTCTGCAGCTATGCTATGCATTAGGAAGCGTTGTCACCTGGGGTCTCATTTCACTGACCTTATACTTGTATCTCTGTTTTATGGTTCCTTAATATGCTCCAGAGACCCCTGCATGGCATAAGTAGTAGTTTAGGCTATAATATTTCATATAAAACCTTAATTAAAAAATTTGCTAGGTAAAGAATGAAGAACGGCAAAAACATTTTTTAATATTAAAATATATCTGAAGCCAAAACATTTTTACTTTTAGACAAAGTAGACATGGGTTCAATTTGTGGTCAATATTTTAATTTCTTTCAAAATGTTTGTCCCATTGGTGAAATCCATTCCCTTCCTGTTCCTGGGCATGTACGTAGGAAATTCCCCTCCTAGACAGTTGTCACCCCATCAAGTCCCCATTAGAAGATTTCACCTCCTGTTCTTGAGCAATTGGCTAGGAAATTCCCCTCCTTAGACAGCTGTAACCCCATCAAGTCCCCATTGGAAAGTGTCACCACCTGTTCCAGTGAAAACTAAAATTGTGACTTTTTCTTAACTTCCTTTCCTTGTGTCCTCTGAACAGTTTAAAAAGCAAGGAATCTGGTAAATACGTGATATCCCCTTCCTGTTTCAGGGCATGTGTGTAGGAAATTCCCCTCCTAGACAGTTGTCACCCCATTGGAAGATTTCACCTCCTGTTCTTGGGCAATTGGCTAGGAAATTCCCCTTCTAGACAGTTGTCACCCCATTGGAAGATTTCACCTCCTGTTCTTGGGCAATTGGCTAGGTAATTCCCCTTCTAGACAGTTGTCACCCCATTGGAAGATTTCACCTCCTGTTCTTGGGCAATTGGCTAGGTAATTCCCCTTCTAGACAGTTGTCACCCCATTGGAAGATTTCACCTCCTGTTCTTGGGCAATTGGCTAGGAAATTCCCCTTCTAGACAGTTGTCACCCCATTGGAAGATTTCACCTCCTGTTCTTGGGCAATTGGCTAGGAAATTCCCCTTCTAGACAGTTGTCACCCCATTGGAAGATTTCACCTCCTGTTCTTGGGCAATTGGCTAGGTAATTCCCCTTCTAGACAGTTGTCACCCCATTGGAAGATTTCACCTCCTGTTCTTGGGCAATTGGCTAGGAAATTCCCCTTCTAGACAGTTGTCACCCCATCAAGTCCCCATTGGAAGATTTCACCTCCTGTCCAGGGGCACTTGGGTAGGAAATTCCCTCCTTAGACAGCTGTGTACCCATCAAGTCCCCCTACTGTTCTGGTGACAACTCACATTTTGACTTATTTCTAAGTTTCTTTCCTCTGAAGCATCTAAAAAGCAGGGAATCTGGTGACTATGACATGGCTGATATTCTGTGTTACAGAACAAGGTTGAATGTTAGTCTCAGCTGTAATATTGTAACATTAGCAGAAGGAGAGAATTTGGCCGAATGTTCCCACTATAGGCACTGGGGGTGTCTCTGGTTCAATTCCCGGTCAGGACATGATCTGCAAGGAGTTTGCATGTTCTCTCCGTGCTTGCGTGGGTTTCCTCCGCGTACTCCGGTTTCCTCCCACTCTCCAAAGACATGCTGGAAGGTTAATTTTCTCCTGTCTAAAATGGCCCTCCTGTGCGCGTGTGATCTCCGGCCATTTCAATCTGTAAATGACCCCAGAAGGGTTTCTAGCCCCAGAGCCGTGGAGACCTCCAGGACCTCGTGTGTCTCATGTAATTATTACAGGTATTTATATAGCATTGCCAATTTACACAGCACTCTACATAGTGCACATTCACATCAGTCCCTGCCCTCAAGGAGCCTACAATTGAAGGTCACTATTCCTTCAATTGTATAACCTTCAATTGTAAGCACTGCGTAAATTGTTGGTGCTATACACTGAGTGGCCAGATTATTATGACCCCCCATCAGTACTTGGTTGGGCCGCCTCGTGACTCCACGAGATGATGAAAGGTGATGCGAGGAATCTGACACGGCACTGTTGCCCTTCTGTTGTCTTGTACCAGTCTTGCCCCTCCCCCGTTCTGCCCAGCATTGCCAATTTACACAGCACTTTACACAGTGCACATTCACATCAGTCCCTGCCCTCAAGGAGCCTACAATTGAAGGTCACTATTCCTTCAATTGTATAACCTTCAATTGTAGGTTCCTTGAGGGCAGGGACTGATGTGAATGTGCACTGTGTAAAGTGCTGTGTAAATTGGCGGTGCTGTATAAATACCTGTAATAATTACGACACACGAGGTCCTGGAGATCTCTACGGCTCTGGGGTTAGAAACCCTTCAGGGGTCATTTACAGATTGAAATGACCTGACATCACACCATGAGTGAGGAGCACTAAACAATTTTAGGTACATTAAAAGAACCAGGAAACATATTGGTCAATGTAAAGAGCCACTGGAAACATTCCAAAATATGTGCACAGACATCCCCATATCAAGCATGAGGGAGATTTATTACATTTTGTATTTGGCTTTGCTTGATGCCAGGTGTAGACACGATTTTGGACTAAAGTGGGCTCAGCAGATGTGCTAATTATTAGGATCTGTGTGACATTGAATGTTTCATAAATATAACACTCATTTCACCAGAATATGTTACATTGTGTCATTGGAAGTCCCCGTTCACACCGAGCCGTTCTCAATCTTTGTTTTCAGTCATGTGACTGTCACTTTCAAATCTCATTGGATTGGGTTGAAAATAACTGTCACTTTTTCTAAGGCTGGGTTCACACCTAGGCGTATCCAATATGCGCGTTTGTCGCACGATTCGCGGTAAAAAAAAAACAGCGTGACAAACGCGCGTTTCCGAGGGCTACTTGGCTGTATCCCAATGGAAACGCGCGACAAAAACCCCCCAAAGAAGCTCCTGTACTTCTTTGGGCGTAGGACGTTTTGTAGCGCGGTCATACGGCCTGTAATACGCCCAGGTGTGAACCATACCCATAGGCAATAATGGGATTACTGTGTTTGAGCGTTTTGCAGAGCGTAGGAACGCGCTACAAAACGCCCAGGTGTGAACCGGGCCTTAGTGTCATTATTTTGGTGTTTCAGTGAATTTGGTGTTTTGTGAATTGAGCCTTATGTCCTGTTTGCTGCACGGGTACATGATGCTGGGGGTTGTAGTGTGGAGCAGTTGGGGAGTTGCAGTTGGTCATCTCTATATGATTTGCGACTCGCTGGGATGTTTAATTGACATTTTTGTTATTTTATCGGCTGTTGGGAATATCTTCACCCCGAACCCCATTACTACTCTTCTCACGCCCAAATTTGTGTCAATTTTCTTCAAAGATTTACACATCAGCGAGGACACTTAGAAAGCTCCATACAATATTAATGGTGACATTTTCATTACCGGCTTCAATCCCCGACGGTAATGAACCAATCATACCTAGGGGATGGAAAATCACAGGAATTGCTCTGTAAGGTCATCCGAACTACGGACGCGTTTGAAGAAACCGCCTGCAAATTAAATCTGGGGATGGGATCCTGGGCCGCGCACATTTTATACAGCAGAGCCACATCGGCTTAACGATCATCTCGCCAATACACGGAGAAATGTTTAATAGGCAGTTTGCACTTTATATTTGGCATACAATTGTATAAGTGATAATCTTGGGGTCTGTTTCGCAACCAATGCGACAGTTATAGTTTGTCGCCATCACGTGGACATATGGTGACCGTCCGCCTCTTGTCTCTGCTGTGCTCTTATTTGGGAATACAATACAACCTCAGGGACGTCACTGGACTTAAGGTGCCCATACACCTTTGTCTTGCGATGGTCGTAAGCTCATTGAAAGCTCGTACGATCTGCCCATCTTGGACGGGCAGATCGTACTTGCGATCATCGAAAAGCCCGCCCCGTGGGGGGCGGGCTTCCCATGACCGCAGTGAGGGGCGGGCTTCCGATCACTGCAAACGGGTAGTGTGCGTGTGCGCACACCGGCCCGTTCGGCTGTTGTCGAACAAGCAGGCCACTAACCCTCCGAGAATCGTATGATTCTCGGCGGGTTTTCAAGCCTGCTTGTTCGACGGAAGTACGGTCGCACGCCTTCCATACACTGCACGATTCTCGTACGATCGCGGGATTTCCCGCGATTCTCGTACGAGAATCGTACAGTGTATGGGCACCTTTAGAACTCAGTGTATATAGTACATTCTGTGTATATAAAGAGATACATTTTATCAAACTTGAGAATGAATATTGCTGTGTTAGTAAACTGCTTTGCTTTTGCTTAATGGACCTAAATGTGTATTTGATCCTTATTTGAGAACTGTTGCTTTAAATTTGTTTAATTATTTTGGGCACAAGAACAGGCCCATGGTAGGTGAGAAGAACTTTTGTAACCCTCAAGAGCTATCTAAAGGCCTTAGCACCCTTAAAAATGACCAAAACCACCTCAGTTGACCTTTTCCATTGACTCCCCAACATTTTGCCAAAATCTCTAGTTTTTGTTACCAATGACACCTCTAAATTTGCCTCATCCCAAAATATGACAAAAGTAAAAGAGATAAGTAATATTTTTAAAACAAAGATATTGATTTGATATATGTTGATGGTACCATAAAAGGTTTTGCCTGATCACATGACCCGTTCTGCTCCTCAGGGTCTCCTGGAACGTTTAGAAGACAGACTCCCGGTAGAAGAAGCCGAGGCTCCAGCTCAAGACTTGTTCCCCCCAAATTATGATTCTTCCGACTCTGCAAACTCAGCACCGTCCTGGACTGGAGAGGCAGCCCGGCCCGGGGCCGACATGACGTATAACAGAGGGTCCTGGCTACAGCAGGAGAAATCGTCTCCGCTGAGGAACAAGCTTCGAGAGCTGCTGAACGCTCCCCGCAGCATGAGGAGATCATCCGACTGCTTCGGATCGCGAATCGACAGAATTGGCGCTCAAAGCGGCATGGGGTGCGGCCGCAGGGTGAGTGACCTGAAGGGGTTATGGGCCCTTGTAACTGGCACGCAATGCTGGGAATTTACTTGATAAGCTAACACGTCTTGCTGGATTTCAGGCTCATGTACATAGACATTACAAAATAAACCCCCAACCCTCTCTGAAATCTTAAAAGGCGCCTAAAACAAAAATATTCTCCTTATTTTTGGGGTATATGATGGAAGGAGATATGTTTTAATACCTTCTGTTCTAAGAAGGCTTTACAGTGTTTAAACAAGGCTGGTGTCAGGTCTTCCCCCACGTCAATGCTTGAATGCATGGCTGAATTTTGTGAATGGCCAAGCGTAGATGGGGGCGGAGACATGACACCAGCACCAGTTATGGGGGGCCGCAAAAAAAAATATTCTTTTTTTTAGCTATTTAAAGAAAGCTATGAAGATAATGGGGTCCCCAGTTGGGTTTTAAAACTAAACGTTGGGATTTTCGTAACAAATACCATTGCAGTAGGTCTACCCCCCCCCCCCCCGGGTCAACTGCCCGTTAGGTATGAAGCTCTAAGAAAGAGCCGAATTAGCTACCTTATTCCATGCTTAGGCACTCTGCTCTTCTCTCTGATGCTCCTGGTTGAGAGCGGGCCGTCAATGTCCTTGCATACAATATAGGACTGCGGGTTCTGCATTGTACAAGACATGACATCAGGGTGCAACTGCTGGCCAGAGCACTGCAGAGAAGAGGCACTGGGGAAACTGGACACATAACGTGGTGGAAGCTTGCCAGACCAAGACATAAGGTAAATATTACAGATACCTTATGTCATACATTTTAGGGGTCCTTGGGGTACCCTACGGTGCATCATCAGGGGGACGGCTGTCTCTTCTGGGTTCCTGCTGCTGGACCCCATTGCCCGTGGCTTCCAGGGATACCTTACATCCCCGCATCCCAGGGGGCCTTGGGGTACCCTACGGTGCATCATCAGTGGGGCGGCTATCTTATATGGGTTCTTGCAGCCAGACCCCAGATACATCACCAGGGGCCTGCTGCAAGGACCAGGAAGAGACAGCTGCCCCCCTGATGATGCACCCCAACGTCCCCTGGGTTGCATGACGTAAGGTATCTCTGGAAGCTACGGGTAACTGGTTTCTTGCTGGATGAGCTCAGAAGAGACAGCCGCCCCCCCTGATCAATGCCCCCTGTGATGCATGATGTAAGGTATCCCTGCAAGCTACGAGTGACGGTATTCTAGTTGGAGGAACTCAGAAGAGACAGCCGCCCCCAATGATGCGCCGTAGGGTACCCCAAAGCCCCCTGGGATGCGTGATGTTACCCAGAAGAGACAGCCAGCCCCCTAATTATGTCAGGGAAGATGGTGGCGTGGGACCGTCTGTGCAGCATTGGAGTAGCGTACCGCTAGTGCCGGATCGTTGGGTGTGTATGCTTTTTCTGCATAACCCATTGAAAAAATTAAGGGGGGGAGGAGTAGGAGGAAGGCATGAAGATCATCTTTAATTAAATTTTGTCATCAACGATTGTTTTTAAATGATAAAGATAAACCACAGAATGACCTTCTCTTTCCTTTCTCCCAGTTCTAAGAGTATCGTCTTCGGACCGTAGAAGAACCCAATCTTCGCCATCGAGGGGATCTCGTGCCGTTATTTAAGGACGTCTTCTTCATACAGACCCTCCGCACCGATCACGGCCCTCCTCATTATTTAAAGTCATATTTATTTTTCTACATTGTAACAACTCCCCGTCACCGTAGTCACCAAGCGGGTTCCAGTAACGCGTTGCCAGGTTTAGAAGTCGGATCAGCGTTGCGGATTCTGTCCCGGCGCACCGTATTCTTCTTTTGTTTTTGTCTTGTATGGGAATAAAGTGAGAGGTTTTTCCTAGTCTCCTGTTGTCACTCGTCTTGGAGTTGCGTTCATTATCTGGCCACCTCCGGCGTTCCAGAGGCTCCGGCGCGA